CCCAATAAAAATCCTAAAAAAAAAAAAGAATACAAATAACTGTGTGTAAGGAACTGTAGTGTTTTTTAAAAAATATATTTTTCTAAAACTTTCATAAAGTGGTTGTTTGTTACTTTTATAATGGAACAATATAATTTAAAGTAAAAGAAATTATGACTTACTTTTTATACAGAACACCATACGGTTTTTTCAGTGCATACTGTAAAACATAAATTACAGCTTTCAAAATACAACACATTGTGAAAAGCAGAGGTAAAAACAAAGCATTATAACAGTCAGTATACAAGATTACTCTGGTCTCTGAATCCTATTCTGATGTCTTCTGCTTGTCTCCCTTTTGATCACTTATAACAACTTGCAACATAAGCTTAATATTCTAACTTAGACTAGACTTTCCTAAAAATTTTCTATGCCTTTTCAATAGTCTATCCAACTTAAATGCTTCCCTTCATTACTTTAAATTCTACCTATTTCGTTCTTTTCAGTCAAACAGTTTGAGAGTAGAAAAAAGAGCAGAAGAAAACAAAAAATAAATAAATCCTATCAGGGAAGGCTGACAGAATTGAAATAATGTTGTCTGGAAATAAAAGAACTGAGAAGGTCCCAAAGATGACAATCATAATACTAACCAGTTTAAATACTGTTCTTCAAAAAAATTCCTGTTATTGAACCCTCTTCTCATTTTTTTCCTACTTCTTTCCACCCATCCACTAATAATCACTTACTAATTATATGGTCAGTACTGCTCTACCATAGGGAATAACAAAGATCTAAGGCATTACCTTGCATTAGATCTTTGAGAAAGGAGTAAAGAAAGAAAAACAATAAAAAATAAGGTGAAATGATCATTCACTAATTATCAGAGCTGGTGAACAAAAGAAATTCACCAGTAAAATCCATCTTTTTAAGTACTAAAACTTATGATGATTCTTGACTTCAAATGTTTCCCTACCTCAGTGTAATGGACATAACCACCTTTTCTTGACAACTCAAGAGTCATCAATGTGAGTGTTAACTATTGTAATAATCTGTAATATTGTGCTGCTCTTAGAGCTTAATTAAATATGTCGGGTCATTGTGTTGGCGGAATATTGGGAGGACAGGGAGGGCAGTATCTCATCAACAAAATGACACTCAAACAAAAAAGATGAACATATATTAGACATTCAGTCATCTGAATTGACTATTGTGCTTAACAAGCACAGGGAGTTTAGTCAACTTTAAAAATCTATTCAATTATTGTACTTAGTTGATTTAACTCAAAGAATCTATCGGCTATACTCAAGGCCTAAATAGTCAACTACCTATAGATATCCCTACAGACTATGACTTTCATTCACTAATTAAACATTTACTGAGCGCCTACTATGTGCCAGACACTGAGCTATACACCAGGCTATAGAGATAGAAACAGAGCTTTTATCTTCATCACTTAAATTATTTGTCCTAACCTGAACATACCACTTTTTTCTCCAAATATGCTCCACATGATACATTCTTTAATCAGCATTACTGCTCATTCCAAGCCAGAAACCTGGTAAGTCATACTTCTTACTCATGCCCAAATTCTTCTACCCTCAACATCTATTCTCTCTGGTTATTTCTCATTTTCACTGCCACCACTGGACTCCAGATGCTCGTTACCTGGCTGACAGCAAAGGCTTAAACAGTTTCCTACATTTGCTTCAACCCTCTAGTCAAGCTGATTAAAAGGATCACACCTCTCACTTAAAATCTTTCAATGGTTCCACCAAGCTTTCAGAATGAAGTTCCAACTCCATGTTACTGTCTGATCCCTGCCTGTTCTTCTAGCTTCATTTAGCTCCCTCTCTTTGAGCCATCCCCAGTTATTTGTAGTTCCCCAAATGCATCATGCTCCTTCACACTTCCTCTAAAGCAAGCTTCTTCCTCAGCCTGAAAACCCTTCTCTTCCGCTCCTGGATCTTACTCCAACTCTGCCTCCCATCCCACCCTGAGCACGCCTCCAGCAAAGCGTGTAATTCACAATGCTATAATTTTTCACTTGTCTGTCTCCCTCTCTAAGGGGAGAGACTGTCTCATCTAACTGTTAATCCTCAGTACCTAGCACACTAATTGGTGTTGGTGAAGGAATAAATATATGGTAATACGCAGTTATTTCACTTTAAAATTAGATATGTTCCTTAAATGTGAGTAAACCAAATTCTAGTAATTGAAACCAGTTGAAATCCACTAAGAAAACCAGTTGCTTTAAGGAAAACGAGTAGTCAGTGCCTTGGCAAAGCAAATAACGGCCAACTTGAGCTTTTCTCTAAGGCTAGCAGTTCTTAAGGCAAGGAAAACTTATCTATGTATTTACTTCTCTAGCAGCCCAAACTCATACGTTGAAAATATCCTCAAATGATTTCAATACCATTTTAAAGACAAGTATAGGGCTGGTCGAGTGGCACATTGGTTAAGAGTTGGCTTGGGGGGCCGGCCGAGTGGCGCGATGGTTAAGAACTGGCTTGGGACGCCAGAGGGCCCGGGTTCGGATCCTACATATGAGGGCCAGTGACACTGCCCTCCACAGCTAACATACTGATAAACAGCTCAACCTGGAGCTGGGATGTTGTGAGTCGCCGGCGACGGCGTAGGCTGCAGCCCCTGTTGCAGTGGGTTGCCATGGGCTACCGTGTGTAGCCAGCAGCCAGCGTGAGCGGCCAGCAGCCGCAGTGAGCGGCCGTCCAGAAGCCGGCGACTGATCTGCCTCGCCCGGGAAGAGCGCAATGATGGTGCCAACTTGGGCCAGTGAAGCAACGTCCTCCACAACTAGACTGAAGAACGACAGCAACTTGTCTGTTCCCCTTCCCCCAATTCCCCAGCACTGTTCCCATCCCCCCAATTCCCCAATAAAAATCTTTCAAAAAAAAAAAAGAGTTGGCTTGGAACGCCAACTCTGAGCAGCAGGGCCTCAGTTCAGATCGCACATTAGGGCCAGTGACGCTGCACCCTCTACAGCTAAGATGGTAAACAATAGCTTGACCTGGAGCTGGGCTGCCATGAGTCACCAGGGACGGCGTAGGCTGCAGTGGAGCTGAGGTGGGCTCCTGTAAGCTACTGTGAGTGGACGACAGACAGCGTGAGTGCCGGCAGCCCGCGTGAGCTGCCAAGAGCCACCGTGAGCGGCCATCCAGTGACCAGCAACCAATCTGCCTCAACCGGTAAGAGCGCAATGATAATACCAACATGGGCCAGTGAAGCGACATCCTCCACAACTAGACCGAAGAACAAAAGGACAGCAATTTCTCTGTTCCCCTTCCCTGATTCCCCAACGCTGTTGTTCCCCTCTCCCGATTCCCCAATAAAATCTTAAAAAAAAAGCATATATACATACCACATCTCTAAGAACTTGTGTCACTGTTAAATTTGCATTTCCTCCCTTAATAAGCATGGCATTTTTAATATTTTCACTGAGTTTCGGTTCTCTCTTCTCAAGGAATCTCTTGGCCCTTTTTGTTTTGGGCTTTCTGTTAAAAAAATCATAATTTATAACAACTTAAGATATTTTCTAATATTACAAAACCATAACTTGACTAATGTGCAAAATCTTAAAAACCAACAGAAACGTTACATAACATTTATCAGTTAGGATTCCACCATTAAACGATTTCTCACTTTTTAGGGAGATAATTGGTAAGCTATTCAATTATTACTGTTAAATAAGTGTTAATTTTGTTATTGGTTTTTTGAAAAGGCTTTCATTTTAATATTCTCATTCTTTTATTACTGCTTCTTTCTAAAACTTTTTTATTAAACAATCAAACAAAAGGACTCAAGTTAATACTGTTGCTATATTTACTCCATGATTTTTTCTTTAACCTTAAAGCAGTCACACTGTACTCTGTAACCTAACACAAAGAATTGCACACCAACTGCTGATCAACCTATGGGCAGTTACTAAACATAGGGAGGCTAATTATTGCTTATCTTTTCTCTATGTTTAAGACTACAATGCCTGCCAGGTGGTATACACTATCCCACTCCAACATCACTGCTGAGAAAGTCAAACTTTACTGCCACCAAAGGGAATAATAAGGATTGACACTTTAATAGAGTCACTCTATTAAGACTTAACCTTAACCAAGACCCTATGAGACAAATACAATTATCATCTTCATTTTATAGATGAGGCAACTGAGGCCAGAGAGGTAGTTTGCCCAAGGTCACACAACTTATAAGTAGGGGAATCTTCAAAATGAGCTAGATTTCAAAATTCAAATAGAACAATCAACCTACAATATAAAGGGAAAACAAGTCCATTATTCTGATTTTATGTGACAGAATGTTTTTATACATTTCAAAAAAAAGGGCTTTACCTCTGCTTCCACTACAATGAGCATCTTACTTTCTCAACAGTTCTCTGCCATCTACTGAAAGAATTCCTCCTCATGTAAATACCTATGACCCTCCCTCCTTCTTCCAATCCTATAGACACTTCCAGAAGGAAAAGAAAAGAATATACATACACTTTAGTTTACCATGCATATTTTAAAATTTTTCCTCCAGATAAAATGTCAAGCACACACAGAGCTTCTAATCATTTACTGGTTGATAAAGATACACAAGTTATTTACTAAATCAAATCATATTTAGTGTATCTATACAGCAATATAAATGCTATATGCTCTGTATTCCATGTGGTTTGCTACTTCACACTAACCAGCAGTGAATACAAGTAACACCTTATATGTTTTATTAGCTATTTGTACCCCAATGAGAGTGTAAGTAAACTAGTCTTGTTCATCTTTGCAGTCCCCACATCTAGAGGAATACATAACAAATGCGCAAAAATCTCTCGATCAATGACTAAAAGAATTTGTTGTTCACATGTTAAACCAGCTAAATCATTAGAAAACCACCACAAATAACCGCAGGAATATTTAGGAGGTCAACAAATATTTTTCGAACGAATTTAAAACAGACATCACTCAAGGATAACTCAGAGAAGTGTACAAGATTGGGAAGGAAAGAAAAACTGTAGCAAAGGCTTTACATACATTCTCGCCAATAATCCTCACAGTTTCATGAGGTACAATTACGAACGCTATTTTACAGAGTAAAGTGAGACTTGGAGAAATTAAATGGCCCAGTGTCACAAAGCTTTAAGTGGACGCACCCAGATTGTGCCCTAGATCTGTCAGACCGGAACCGTGCTCGGAAGCCCCCACTCTCCCACCTCCCTCACACTTCTTCGGAAACCAGGGCGTTCCTAATTGGCTTGGACAAAAAGTGACCAATACCTCTGTGCCACCTCCACCCCGCGGCTGCCACTGTAGGCTTCCCCGCTAGCCGTCTCCCCGGCAGGTGGCACCAACCCAGGGAGACCTAAGCTACTGGATCTAGTGGATCTACTGGCTCCCACCGGGTCCAACGGGCAAAGGGTATGAAGGAGAATGGTAACCAGGAGGAGCGGGAGGCAGAGGACGCATCACTCTATTCCTCCACAGGGGCCCCTCTCCTAACGTTTTCCGCGGCAGAAAACCAGCTAACTTACACAACCCGATCCAAGACATCCATCGCTACCGCCACCCGAACCGAAAGAACACACGTGCACCGCGCGGTTACCGCGAGACCGGCCCTGGCCCTGGAACAGGAGGAACCGGAACTTGCGAGTGACGCCACTTCCTGGGACCGCCGCCCTGTGGACGCCTGGAGGTGCTAGTGGCCATTTTGGGTGGAATCGCATTCTGTTCCCTTGGTTACGGGTTTTTGCCAAAGCTCTGTACTGGAAATTAACACTATAATTAACATCGCCTCTAGCCCTGTTGTGTATACCAGAGGTAGGTATTCAGGGACCAGGTGTTATTCTTCTGGGAATCTCCAGGATGCTAGAAAAGTTGATAGGTACTCATGCAGTCACTAAAAATATCAATGTGAAATGTGCATCACTAACTGAACTGTGAGATCAGTGGGACATTTTATAACTACCACAGTGCCTAGCACGTAAAAGGTGTGCAGAAAACCACACTGCTGATTGTGATTTTTATCCCAATTTTTTAATTGCCACATGCTTAACATATTTAATTTACCCCTGTAAAGTGTGTGAGTCAGTGGTTTTTAGTAAATTCACAAGGATATGCAACCATCACCACTATCTAGTTCCAGAACATTTTATCTCTGCAAAAGGAAATATCCACTTTCCAACACAGTAGCAGTTATTCTACATTTCCCCCTCCTGCCATCCTCTGGCAATAATAAGTCTATGTCTGCATGGATTTTTCTATTCTCAACGTTATTTGTACGTGGACTCATACAATATGTGGCCTTTTGTGTCTGGCTTGTTTCACTTCCTTTGGCCATATGTGTTCATGTTTAAGGTTTACATATGTTGTATTATGTATCAATAATTTATTTTTTTTGAGGACTGAATATTCTATGGTTCTATCACATTTGTCATTTAAATTTTTATGGACATTTGGGTTGCTTCCACTTTTTGACTATTATGAATTATGCTGTTTTGAACATTCATGTACAGTTTTTGTATAGACTTTTATTTTCAATTCCCTAAGAATTGAATTGCTGGATCACATGTGAACTCTATGCTTAACATTCTGGGGAACTGTCAAACTATTATTCAGCTGCACTATTTTATATTTCCATTAGCAATTGTAAGAATGTTTGTTGTTGGCTTTTCTATTGCTACTGTAACAAATTACCACACATTTACTGGTTTAAAATAACACAAACTTAACATGTTATAGTTCTTGAAGTCAAAAGTCTGAAATTAGTTTTACAGATCAAAAATTAAGATGTCATTAGGGCAGCATTCCCCTGGAAGCTCCAGGATATAATCTGTTTCTTTTCCTTTTCCAGGTTCTAGAAGCTGTCTGCATTTCTTGGTGTTCTTCCATCTTCAAAGGGCATCCATTGAAACTTTCCATTGTTACATCTTTTTTCTGATTCTGACACTACTGACTCCCTCTTAAAAGACCATTGTGATTATATGGGGCCCACCTGAATAATCCATGACAATCACCCCATCTCAAGACCTTTAACTGAATTATACAGCAAATTTTATTTGGCTGTGTATGGTAACATATTTACAGATTGCTGAGGTTAGGGTCTGGACATCTTTTGGGGGGAGCTTTAGTCCATCAACCACAGATTCCGATTTCTCTATTCCTCACCTAAACTTGCTATGTCCATCATTTTTTTTTTAATTAAGTCACCCTAGTGAGTGTGAAGTGGTATCACTGTGGTTTTCATTTGCATTTCCCAGATGGCAAATGTTGGCCATCTTTTCCGCACTGATTGGCCATTTTTGTGTATCTTTGGGAAAATGTCTATTCAAATCTTTGCCCATTTTTAATTGGGTTATCTTTTTATTGGTGAGTTCTAATAGTTCCAATACATTCTAGATACATGTCCCTTATATATAATTTGCAAATATGTTCTCCCACTGAGAAAATACTTAATAGTGTCCTTTGAAGCAAAAGTTTTCGATTTTGATAAAGTCAAATTTATCCATTTTTTTCTGTTGTTGCTTTTCCTTTTGATGTCATATCTAAGAGGCCATTTCCTAATCCAAGATGATAAAGATTTATACCTATATTTTCTTCAGAGTTATATAATTTTAGCTCTTACATTTAGGCCTTTGGTCCATTTGGAATTAATCTTTGTATATGGTGTGAGATAGGGGTTTACTTCATTCTTTTGCATATGAATATCCAGTTGTCCCAGCACCATTTGTTGAAAAGATTATATTTGCTCCATTGTATTGTCTTTGTTCCTTGGTCTAAGATCAATTGACTATATTTATGTGGGTCTATTTCTGGGCTCTCTATTCTGTTCCACTGACCTATTTATCTATTCTTTCACCAATTCCACAGTCTCTATTATAGTAGCTTTATAGTAAGTCTTAAAGTTGGACAGTGTCAGTCCTCCTACTTCATTCTCATTCAACATTGTGCGGGCTATTCTGGGTCTTTTGCCCCTCCATATAAACTTTAGAATCAGCTTATCAATATCCACAAAATAACTTGCTAGGATTTGAATTGATTGCATTGAATCTATAAATCAAGCTGGGAAGAACTGTCATCTAGACAATATTGAGTCTTCCAATCCATGAATATGGAATATGTTCCCATTTTGTTAGTTTTTCTTTGATTTTTTTTCATCAGTTCTGTAGTTTTTCTCACATAGATCTTGTACATATTGTTACATTATACATTAACTTTCATTTTTGGCATGCTAATGTAAATGGTATTGTGTTTTGGTTTCAAATTTTATTTGTTCATTGCTGGTATATAGAAAAGCAACTGACTTATGTATTAACTGTATCCTGCATTGCTGCTATAATTCCTTTTTAGTTCCAGATTTTTTTGTAGGTGCTTTCAAATTTTCTACATAGGCAATCTTGTCATCTGAGAACAATGACAGTTTTATTTCTTCCTTCCCAATCTGTATACTTTTTATTTACTTTTCTTGTCTTGTTAACTAAAACTTCCAGTATGATGTTGGAAAAAAGTGGTGATAAGGGATATCCTCGCCTTGTTCCTGATATTAGCAAGAAAGCTTCAAGTTTCTTACTATTAAATATGATGCTAACTGTAGGTTTTTTGTAGATTATCAAGTTGAGAAATTTCCCCTCTATTACTAGTTTGCTAAGAGTTTTTATCATGAATGGGTGTTGGATTTTGTCAAATGCTTTTTCTGCTTCTATTGATACAATTATGTAATTTTTCTTCTTTAGCTTGTTGATGTGACAAATTACATCACATTAATTTTTGAATATTGAACCAACTTTGCATATCTGGGATAAATCCCACTTAGTTGTGGTAATTCTTTTTACACATCGTTGAATTCGATTTGCAGTATTTTTATGGGAATTTTTGCGTCTATGTTCACAAGATATTTGGTCTGTAGTTTTCTTTGTATAGTTTTGTTATTAGGATAGTGCTGGCTTCTTGGATATAATGGATATTAACGCACAAATATTGAATTATGATGTCATACACCTGAAACTAATATAATGGTGGATTTATCAATTTCTCCTTGCAGTTCTATCAGACTTTGCCTCATGTGTTCTGACACTCTGTTGTTAGACACACACACATGAAGGACCATTTTGTCTCCTTGGAGAATTGACCCTTATTAATATGTAATGCTCCTCTTTATCCCTGATAACTATCCTTGGTCTGAAGTCTGTTCTGTTTAAAATTAATATAGTTACTTCCACTGTCTATATATGTCGTTGTCCTTCCATTTACTTTTAATCTATATGTGTCTTTATATATAAAGTGGGTTTCTTGTAGACAACATAGAGTTGGGTCTTGTTTCTTGATCCACGCTGACAACCTCTTTAATTAGTGCAATTACACCATTGACATTCAAAGTGATTTTTTTATATAGCTGGATTAATATCTACAATGTTATTTTCTGTGTGTTGCCCTTATTCTTTGTTCTTATTTTTGTCTTCCATTCTTTTACTGTCTTTTGTGGTTTAATTGAACATTTTATATGATTCCATTTTCTCTTCTTAGCATATTTGGTTATACTTATTTTAAATATTTTTTTATTTTTCAATTTGGTTGTAATTTTTAAACTTTTTTTTTTTTTTTTTTTAGTGGTTGCCTTTTATGGCATGCAGGCCCAGAGAAAGGCTCCAAGCTCCAAGGCTATAAATCTATCTCCATAAGTGGAGGGCAGTCAAAGACCAAAGAAAAGAAGCTGGTCACTCCAGTATGATAATTAGTGGAGTTTATCCAAGGTAAACTTACAAACAAGGCACACCTTGGGCAGCTGCAATATAAATTGGATTCTTGTGCTACTTGGCAGGTGCCAAAGTATTATTTAGGGTAAAAGGGGTAGGAGGATTGACATGGGTACTAGTAAGTGAATGCTACCAGATATGAGAAATTACATGCTTGACCAGGTCAGGACAATGGCCTGTTCCAGGAAATAGCACATAACAGGGGGTTGGGTAGGTGCTGATTTAAGTCAGAATGAACAATTACGATCAGTCTCTAAGGGAGGTTTGTGTTAAGCAAACTCCGTTCTGGCCTGGGTCCAGCTCACAGGTCAGACAGCAGTCACATCATGGAAAAAAGGGAGGTTTGTGTTAAGCAATCTCCATTCTGGCCTGGGTCCAGCTCACAGGTCAGATAGCAGTCACGTCATGGAAAAGTCTCTCCTTCACATTGCCCTAGAGTTTGCAGTATACATTTACAACTAATCCAAGTCCACCTTCAAATAACAACATACTTCGTGAGTTGTGGGAGTACTTTATAACAAAATAATCCTAATTCCTCCTTCCCATCCCTAGTATCATTGCTGTCGTTCATTTCACTTATACATAAGTATACATGTCTTAGTCCATTTGGGCTGCTATAACGGAATATCATACTTATTGGTTTATAAACAACAGAAATGCATTTCTTACAGTTCTGCAACCTAGGAAGTCTAAAATTAAGGCACCAGAAGATATGGTGTCTGTGAGGGCCCGCTTCCTGGTTCATAGAAAACCATCTTTTCACTGTGTCTGCACATGAAACAAGGGAGCTCTTTGTGGTCTCTTGTATATGGGCATTAATCGCATTCATGAGGGCTCCACCTCCATGACCTAATCACTTCCCAAGGCCCCACTTTCTAATACCAACACACTGGGGGTTAAGATTTCAACATACTCATTGGGGATGGGGGGGTGGGGGCGGGGGCAGGAACTCCAGACATTCAATCTATAACAATCCATATACATATACAGAAGCATATGTAATCAAATATATTGTTGCTATTATTATGTGAGCAAACTGTTATCTGTTAG